TAATGAGAAGGCACAGATCACTAGAAAAAACAATAATGCTAGGAAAGCATAGAAAAAAGAGAGGGAGGCCACAAACAGATGGATAGACTTGATCAGGGGGGTTACGGGGAAGAGCTTGCAGGATCTGGGCAAGGCAGTAGAAGATAGGGATTCTTGGAGATGTCTCATCCACAGGGTCACCATGAGTTGGAACCGACTCGAGAGCAGCTAACAACAACAACAGTTTCTTAAAGCGTTGTTATGCCTCCCATGTCCTTTGTGCCCTTGAAAAAATATGATCCCTCCCAAAGCATCTGCTACTCTGAGCCAAGAGCTACTTGGCAACATTTCCCTAATGATAAAAGCATTCCTACTAAGGCATAGGGCTCCCAGCTTGGCGGTGGCAGTGATAGGATGTTGTTCTTTTAACAACTGTATGGCCGGCAGAAGTTCAGCTGGTAGAGTTTCTACTTTCTCTCTCCATCCTAGGAAAAGGTTTACTTTTCCTCATTGGGTCACTAGATTTTTCCTTGTTGGGTCACTGTTAAAGGCAAGAGAGAAAATAAAAGGCAGGGAGAATCTAATAACTTTACATTGAATGTGAAAGTGGGAAGCTGGATGCAGGAGTGAGGAAAGGCAGCAAAACAGCAGCACCATCTATCTGAGGCTGTAGTTTCTGCAGCTTGACAAAAAAAAGGGCCGTTATCATATATCATCACCCCGGTCACTCTCAGGCCCTGGGCAAAGAAAAGGCCAGCAGTTATATTAAGACATTTTGGATGACAAACCAAATCCTGGCCCGGGATTCCATGCCTGCTAAAGAGGCACTTGTCCCTGGCTGACTGAGCTCCTGCTAAGCAGTTTAAGTGGAGGCAGGAGGGACAGCTCCCTGCAAAAGTATGCTTAGTGTGTTTTCCTATCTGGCAGAATCTGAACAGAATCTAAAGCCACATAGATTTAGGGGACAAATATGGTGTTGTGGTTTGAACATTGGACTATGACTCTGGACCAGGGTTCAAATCTAGAATCAAGCATGAAAGTCCACTGGCTGGCTTTGGGCAAGTCACACTCAACCTCAGAGGATGGCAATGGCAAACCCACTCTGATGACACTTGCCAAGAAAACCCTGTGATAGGTTCACCTTTGGGACACCATAAGTCAGAAGCAACTTGAAGGAACACAATACCCATGCACGCACGCATGCACACCAAGTGATGGCTTCAGGATCACAAGCCTTGGGTGGTATTATCTAGGATGGCCTTTCCTTGCCAACCTATATCTGAGGGTTGCCTTTTGCCTCACAAAGAAGGGGAAATGGGAAATCTCATCACCATCGGCTCACCAGGCAATCAACATTGTGATAAGGATTTGAAATGCTATCAGACTGATCACCTGCCTAAGGAGCTTTGTTGTTGTTAACTGCCCTCAAGTCAATCTCTACCC